CATCGGGCTACCCCCTAAGCTAAATATATGAAACTGTATTACATTATAGATGCCATGGTAACTTCCTAATTTAATAATATTTAAATATATATCGTATAATAGTATCAATAATGATATATTTTTCCATCTTTTATGATGTACTTATTATAATAAAACTATAAACATTCATTTAACCAACCGTAAATCTCATTTAAAACACAATGGAGTTGTGCTTTTTATATTTACAAAGAGAATACATTTTCACTTCATAGTGAGATATAGTCTATTGTTTTACAAAGTGCCACACATATGCAGTTGAAATCAGAATTATTAGCCCCCCTTTGAATTTTTTTTTTATATTTCCCAAATGATGTTTAACAGGGCAAGGAAATTTTCACAGTATGTCTGATAATATATTTTCTTCTAGAGAAAGTCTTATTTGTTTTATTTTGGCTAGAATAAAAGCTGTTTTTAATTTTTAAACACCATTTTAAGGACAAAATTAATAGCCCCATTAAGCTATATTTTTTTTCCGATAGTCTACAGAACAAACCATGGTTATACAATAACTTGGCTAATTACCCTAACCTGCCCAGTTAACCTAATTAACCTAGATAAGCCTTTAAATGTCACTTTAGCTGTACAAAAGTGTCTTGAAAAACATCTAGTAAAATATTGTTTACTGTCATCTTGACAAAGACAAAATAGATCAGTTATTAGAAATGTGTTATTAAAACTATTATGATTAGAAATGTGCTGAAGAAATCTTCTCTCTGTTAAACAAACATTTGTGAAAAATAAACAGGGTTCTAATAATTCAGGGGGGCTAATAATTCTGACTTTAACTGTACATCTGTCAACATCTAAAAAAAAATGTGTTTTAGGGTTTCATGACCACAAAAAAATCTGATGAATTCACATTTAATTCAGTTTTTTTTTTGTAGCTCAGCAATGAAACAAATAAACTAAAGTTCATGTAAATGACAATCTCTGATTAAGCGATTCTCCCCAACCAAACCTGTAATTTGTCCATCCCTTCTTTGATTGGTTGGTGGGCCAAATCAAAGTTTAACATGGGCCAACTAAGACCCACGGGCCCTAGTTTGGGCATCTCTGCAATAGATAAATAAATAAACATGTTGTGCTATGTACAATAAAAAAATGAGTTAAGTACTGAGAAAATGTACTGTTTAAAGTAAACTGAACTTCAATTAATTGTGTGAAATCTGACTTTATAAGCAGGTGTTACAACTATTTCTGTTACAATACCCCGCAGGTGGGGTAAATAGTAACATTTTTACTGCTGGCACTTCCTCCACAGGACTAATACTATATTCTACAGATATAGTATGAGCATTATGGCAACACTGTATGTGTTTCCGAGCACATCCAGTAACTGTCTGGTTTTCTACAAGCACCTTGAGACTTCTAACAGCTCTGTGATATAGTGCTAAGTGATTTCTATCTCATCTCAATCAGCGCAATCCATAAACTCCTCCAGCGTGTTGTGCTGATGTAATATCCTGTGCTCCTAAGAGCCGGACACCCTGTGAGAGATGGATGGAGCTCTTCACGTATGTGGCTGTGAACAGTCTGCTTCTATCACCACTCTGCAGACTCCCCGCCTTTCAATCACCTTCACCATGTCTGGATGACGAACCCAAGGCCCTTCAGTTCTCGCTTTCACTCATATTTCTTGTCTCCGTCGCTCTTTCTCTCTCCCAGTAGCCTTTATTTTTCCTCTCCACATGCTCCTAAATCCCCTCGTCTCTGGTCTCTCCAGTTGTCTGGGTGGGTTTTGCTAGCAATCCCTCTTTGCCTGTGTGCTGATAAGGCTTCACTGAGAGCTTTCAGATCCCACTGATTATGTCTGGTCTCTTTGTGTGCTGTTTTCTGAAAATCTCCGCATCTCTCTCACAGCATCCAGCACGGATGAATGAATGCCTTTTAAAGCTATAAGGCTCTTGAAAAGCACCCTTGTTGTTTTAAAAGGACATCGTGGTTTTCATCTAGAGAGGAAGGTTTAATTCTGCCTTCCTTTCTTCTCACTGTTTATCGTCTTTTAGGGATTAGGATTGTGCGTGAGTCTGTGAGGATGAGATTCGGTGCATTATTGCTTATCCCAGGTTTTTTTTTTTCTTTACATTTCATTGTCATTGACCTTTCTGCATCAGTAAATATTTGTGTCAATGACATCAATGAATAGATTTTATGCCTTAGCTCAGGGTTGTATACAATATACGGTATATGCTCTGCTGGTGGGCCACCATGTAGACTTCAGCTTCGACCTGCTTCAGCACACCTGCTTAAATGTTATTAAATGGTCCTTCTTATAGGGTCCTTTGTTAACCCTTGAGAGGAATTATCTATATTCTGTTTGTCCCAAAAATTAAGGATCATTCATTAATTTTCCTTCGGCCTAGTCCCTTATTTATTAGCGGTCGCTACAGAATAAACCACCAACTATTTTGGCATTTGTTTTAGGCAGCGGAAGCCCTTCTTGTCACAACCCAATCCTGATAAACACCCATACACTCACATTGATTACAGCTAATCTAGTTAATCCAATTCACCTATAGCACATGTCTTTGGACCCACGCGAACACTGGGAGAACATTCAAGCTCCGCATAGAAATGCCAACTGGCCCAGATGGATCTTGATCCTGCGACCTTCTTGCTGTAAGGCGACAGTGCTAACCACTGAGCTGCAAATTTAAGAGTCATAAACTTCTAAAATAAGCATCCAGATTATTGTCAATCCTCATTTTTTCTGCTTGAAACAAAAACCTCAGCATTTATCACAAACTCTGTGGATATCTACACTGTTAACGCTTACTGTAGATTATACAGTAAATAAATGTAAAATAGCCAGTGTTTAGCTGTAATGAAAGGAAACAGTATTTTACTGTAAAAGGAGTAGACTTTGTATGAAATTGTGCAGTGCAAAGAATAAATTCAGTAAACTACTTTTTGTACCCATTACAGATAGTTACTGTGATAATAAATGGTAAATTACTGCTTAACCATTACTGCCCCATCTACTCTGATGCTTTATGTTGCTATATATATATAGCAATATATATATATATATATATATATATATATATATATATATATATATATATATATATATATATATATATATATATATATATAATATATATATATATATAATATATAATAAATATATATATATAATATTTATTATTTATTTAATAAATAACTATTAAAAAATGTGTCTGGAAAACTTTAAATGAAGTAAGTAAAAGTGGCATTACAGTATAGTATAAAGGCTTTCCTAAATAAATGTATTAATCAGGTAATTTTTTTCATTATTTATTTATTTATTTGCTTTGGATGAAGTTTTTATATTTTTATTGTTTTTATTCAATGATATATGCATGATTGTGATAAATGTAGACACAATTTAATATGGCATTCGTGCTTGGATTCACACCAAAAAATTTGGTCTGAGATCAGCAGAACAAGAAATCTCAAACCGCTTGAAAATTAACTGTGGAATTCACTTGTGGTGAGAATGTAATCCCACCCAATGGAGCAACAAACTAGGCTTGATTGAACTGTGATGTGTTATTACATATTCTGCATGTAAAGAACAGTTCCTAATGCCTCTCAGAATGTGGGTTAAAATGGAGCAAAGACAATGTATAATGTCTAACCCAAATTAGTTTTGAGTTTACTTGCAAATGAAATGTTTTAGTCCATTTAAAATCATTGTATTGTGAAACCAAACCCAGAAGAAAGTGCAACATTTAACAGTTTTCCTGTCTGCATTATAATTGAATTCTGTCAATCATCAAATACTTTTTTATAAAGTTATTCCCACAATTCCTTACTCCATATCAATATCATTGCCACAGCCATATCACCCTGCAGCCCAAGAGTGGTTACTCACTGAAGGTAAGCAGGGCTGAGTCTGGTCAGTATCTGTATGGGAGACCACATAGAAAAACAAGTTTGCTGTTAGAAGTGGTGTTAGTAAGGCCAGCAAGGGGCGCTCAATCTGAGGTCTGTATAAGTTCCAATGCCCCATTAAAGTGTAGGAGACACTATACTCTCAGTGAGCACCATCTTTTGGATGAAATGTTAACCCAGGTCCTGACTCTCTTTGGTTGTTAAAAATCCCATGGTACTTCTTGTAAAAGAGTAGAGGTGTAAAGGCTAATTTATATTATGTACTGTATAATCGGATGCAGCCTTTGCATGGTTGCATTGCCCTACGCCGTGGCTGACATTGACACTGACGCACACTTCTCAAAAAAGGTACCTACACGTCGCAGTGTAAGCTCTGTATTTGGTCAGCTTTATAACTGTGACCAGTGTGGGCGGGACTGAGAGCTGTGCGAATCCCTTGAAGCGAGTGTTTTAAGTGTCCATGAACGAGCTCCAAATGGAAACTGTTGATTTGTGTTTACCTTAAGATTAAAGTTGTTGCACTTCCACTGGATCCCATATCCGAATGAGTGAGTTTTAACTACTTAAAAAAAAACATAAAAACCTCCTGCCAGCTAGTGTTTCGGAAGTGTTAGAGTGCAGAGTAACACAAACAGCATACTGAAGTATAAATGCTCTGCTACGCGCGAGGCAGGCGCTGTGTGTCACGGCGATCACTCGACATAGAAATATAAACCAGTCCTAACACCGGCATCCTGGCCAAATTACCTCCGGTCCTTACCCATCGTGGCCTCCCAATCATCCCCATCCACCAAATTAGCTGTATCACTTTCTCTTCACTCCACCTATAGCTGGTGTGTGGTGAGCGCACTGGCGCTGTTGTCTTGTGGCTATGGTCACATCATCCAAGTGGATTCTGCACACTGGGGGTGGTGTGAAGGGATCCCCCGTCATGATTGTGGAGCTCTTTGGGTGTATGGCCATACACGATAAATGCACTACATAAATACACACAATACATTTCAGCACATTATCACTGTGGTGTTGGAATGTAACTAAAATCAAACTTTATAGTTACTCAATCTCTCTTTTCTGTCTTTTTTCAGAGGCTTTTGACATGGTGCTTCGTCTGGGCCGTAATTCCACTCTGATGGTGTTACGCGAGGAGTTTCCTGGTTTGGGGGCTGGAGCCAGCGGAGCCGTCACGCAGTTATTCCTGGATATGTCACTTTACATTCTGGGCTCTGATGCCAATGTAAACGACATGGTCTCCACCTTCTTCTCTCGCCTTTTCCCTCTCACCTACCGTCGACTTCTGGGCAATGGGGCCGTGGCGGGCATCTCTGAAGAATGCCTCCGCGGGGCCTGGAAAGGGAGCTCTGCTTATGGGTCATTTCCCAAGATGATGATGACCCGACTGTCCCGCTCACTCCTGGCCACTCGGGTCTTCCTGCAAGCGCTGAATTTGGGCATAGAAGTGGTCAACACCACTCAGCATTTGCGGGCAGGTAGAGATTGTGGGCGCTCACTTCTGAAACTGTGGTACTGCCCGCACTGTCAAAGCCTGCTGGAGGCCCGGCCGTGCCGTCCACTGTGTGTCAGCACCATGGGAGCATGTTTGGGGGGAACCACGGAGGTACAGCCTCATTGGAGAGCATATGTGGATGAACTGGGGTCACTCGCCGCTGCCATGAAGGGGGAACAGGACATCGAGGCTGTGGTGCTCCGACTGCATGTCATTATCAGACAGGCTCTCAAACAAGCCGTGGCAAGCAAGAGCAAAGTCAGCGCCCAGGTGAGTGACACATGGTCTCAGAAACAAGGTATGAATTCGAATGCTGTAGGCGACTGCAGCCATTTTGCTAACTTCAGCCATTTTTGCTAACGCCATCTCTCTCCAAAACTCAACCTCCAAAGACTTGTCAGCAAAGTCAGTGTCAGCAGACCCGAACGAGTGAAATGAAGAGTGTTTCTGACTGGCTAGTTTTCTGATTGAGCCCAGGGCTATCAAACTCAAAAAACTGTCGAGATTTCTCAGGACACCTTTTTTAGTTAGTACTTTAGTTTACATGAAAGTTCTTGTCAAGGTATTGCAGGTTTTTAATCACCAGGCTTTATTTTATCATTGATCTGTCAACATGATAACATAACATTTACTTTTAGTGATTCAGATTCATCTTTAAGACTTTAACCTTTATGCACACTTTAGCATTCATGTCAACCACACATCAATTCTAAGTGTACTTCATTCAATAGAGTGCTCGAAACATATGCACTAGAAAGGTTTACACTCGTCTAGTGTCTGCAATGTTTCTTTACAGATGTTTTAAACAATAAAAATGTCTTTGTTCTTTTTTTAAAGATGGGTAGTGGATATCTTTGATTCTCTTTGATATGAGAATCTATTGCAAACTTGAGAATTTAGTTTTGGTTTTATCTTTTCCTACTGTGAAACAGTGTCTCTGCACAGTGTTAATAACAAGTAGTTAAAATAACTCCAAGAATAACAGCTTCACATTTATTGTACATGTGATTAGAAAAATCTGTCTGGATGTGTGCAGCTTGCAAAAAACTTATAATATCATTATACATCCCCTAGTTCACATATACAAAATAGGGATGGAAATGGCCAGTGCAGAGTAACTCTTTATATATACACAGTATATTGGACATAACTGGTAAATTGATATATAGGCAAATAAATATACAGGTACATTCTCATAGATATTTTTATTTTTATTTTATGGCCTGTTTGCAAGAACAATTAGAAAATCAATACAGTGGACAACTAATTTGTATTAATTTTGTAATATAATTTTTTTTACATATATATTAAAAAAATAATAATAGAATAAGGGCAGCATGCTGGCTCAGTGGTGGCTGGCTAAGCACTGTTGCCTCACAGCAAGAAGGTCACTGGTTCGAGTCCCGGCTGGGCCAGTTGGCATTTCTGTGTGGAGTCTGCATGTTCTCTCCTTGTTCATGTGGGTTTTCTCTGGGTGCTCTGGTTTCCCCCACAGTCCAAAGACATGCGGTATAGATAAACTGGGTAAATAAAAGTGGGCGTAGTATATGAGTGTGCGTTTGATTGTGAAAGTGTATAGGTGTTTCAGGCACAGGACGTCAACATGACGTCAGATTGACGTTGTACCCCAACCTCGTGGGATGTTGCATTTTGATTGGAAATGTCAAAAATCATTTTGAAATGTATTTTGAAAACGTCAATGTCCAACATCGGAAAGACATTGCATTTTTGTTACTTTCCAACGCAACCTCAAATCAACAAAATATAAACGTCTAATGATGTTACAGCTTAAAGTGGTGTGGACATTACCGCTATAACGTCTATCAGACGTAGGATTTCAGTTGCCATACCTGATCAATAAATGTCAGTATTGGACGTCAATATGACGTTGGTTTAAGATGTTGGCTCGGCGTTGGATTTTGGTCACTTTCTAACACAACCTAAAATCAACAAAATATCATTCATGACGTCATATCATGTCATTATAGGACGTCAAAAAATCTAAATCTAACCTAATAATATTAATGTCTTATGTGTCTTCTGGGAAGGGACTTTTCTGAAGGAAAATGAATGAATGAAAGAATATTAGTAGAATTTTTCTTTAAATACTTGTAAGCAAACGTGGTGAAAAAAATATGAAAAATGTATCAGCCTAAATATATCAAGCCTATATATTTATTTAACATTGGGCTGATAACAAAGAATTTAGTATGCCAATAACCATCTAGTGGTTAGTATGCTGAATCTTGAATCTTTCCTGACCTTACCTGATCCCATCCCCCCTCTCTCTCACCCACTTTACTTCCTGTCATAGTAAAAGCAAAAACAAAACAAATCACTAAAAAAAGAGTAATTAATTTTGTTTTGTCTGCTAATACCAATACAGCAGTCCATATACCGTGTATCCTTTGTAAAAACATTTTTTTTTAATCACAATTATTTTACTTCTTCTGAAGAATGATTATTAATTTTTTTAATTCTTCTGAAGAATGATTATTATATTATATTATATTATATTATATTACATTATATTATATTATATTATATTAATAAATTATACTATATTATATTATAATATTATTAAATTATAATATATTGTATTAAATTATTTTAAATTGTATTAGAGGATATTATATTATCTTATATTATAATATGTTATATTGTATTATATTATATTATATTATATTACAATATATTGTATTATATTATATTATATTATATTATATTATTAAATTATAATATTTTGTATTAAATTATATTATATTATATTATATTATATTATATTATATTATATTATATTATATTATATTATATTATATTATATTATATTATATTATTAAATTATCATATTTTGTATTAAATTATATTATATTATATTATGTTATAATATGTTATATTGTATTGTATTGTATTGTATTATATTATATTATATTATATTATATTATATTATATTATATTATATTATATTATATTATATTATATTATATTATATTATATTATTAAATTATAATATATTGTTTTATATTATATTATATTATATTATATTATATTATATTATATTATATTATATTATATTATATTATATTATATTATATTATATTATTAAATTATAATATTTTGTATTAAATTATATTATATTATATTATATTATATTATATTATATTATATTATATTATATTATATTATATTATATTATATTATTAAATTATCATATTTTGTATTAAATTATATTATATTATATTATGTTATAATATGTTATATTGTATTGTATTGTATTATATTATATTATATTATATTATATTATATTATATTATATTATATTATATTATATTATATTATATTATATTATATTATATTATTAAATTATAATATATTGTTTTATATTATATTATATTATATTATATTATATTATATTATATTATATTATATTATATTATATTATATTATACATTATATTATATTAGACGAGCAAGTAATGCGCTCAATCCACTTTCAGTAACCATTCTAAACACTCTAAAACATTTTCCAAACACTAACTCCAAGAACCAGCAAAGCTTTTTCTCGGATGGTCCGTTGACGGGGGCAAAAGACGTTTAAACAGCAATAACACACTCCAGCTGCTAGCGTATGTTAGCAAGATCAGGAGGCCAAGTGCTCATCAAATATTAAATGTGAGCAATGCTGGAGTTTGTTCTGAAACGCCATACTGAACTCTCCACTTTAAAGCCCAGAATCCAATGCACTCCTATTATTCATCAAAGCTCCATCTTCCACTTATCTCCTCCTCCGCAAAAGTGTAAAATACTCCACCTTAGGTTAGTGTGTGTGCGTGTGTGTTTGGTTCATGCAGTGTTTGTGGACATCAGAGAGGCCTTTGATAAGAGAAATATGAACATGCTATTTATTCCTGAAGGGGTAATAGGGCCGCTTGATGGGGCTCCTGTGAAGTTTTAACAGCGGGGTCCTGAAGGAACCATCGCACATTTCTTGTACTTTTGACCATGTAACCTCACATTAAAGTGCTACATGTAAAAATAACCACACTGCATACTGCCATAGGCTGTTAATATATACTTAGCGAATCATAATATGTCTATAGCTAAATGTCCACATCCTCTCTTGCCTTTGCTAAATACAGAGGCTGTAGTGTGGCTGTGTGGGAGAGAAGTGATATTAAAGTCTGTGTTTACCCACTCTAGGTGTTTGTATGTTGACTCAGACCTCTATATGTATGGTAATGTGTCCTTCGATATCAAGTGCCATTGACACTGATGCTTGCCAACTGGTTTTGTAGTTTATTGCTTAATAACAGGACAATGCGTGTGATGGAGAGAAGGTTCAGCACTAGCTGGGTTTGCGTTCATGCGTTTTTATTTATCACATTATACTGATTTAATTACACTTCTTAAAGGTGCCATATACTACATTGGTTTAATAAGTAAAATTGTTCTCTGATATCTACAAAGTATGTTTATGGCTTCGGTAAGTTAAAAAAAATCTCCAGAAATTGATTTATGAGGTCATTTATTACTCCATAAAATACCTATAGAATCTGAAGGTCCATGATTGACCATATATGGTTCGTATTGTGAATATTAAAGAGCTCCGCCCTGGTGTGTTACTCTTACATACACACACACACACAGAGCATGATGTATGCTGAACACAGACAAATAAAAACCCAATCAGAGTAACGTTAACCTATTGTTCTCAGCATATCTGTTGTGGATGAAGGCTAAATTATAATAAATTAATGAAATGAAATTTGATAATGCAAATGGCTTATCAAACGCAGCCTGAGGCACGCATTTAAATGACAGCTTTTTCATGTTCTCAGAGCTGCATATGATTCGTGTTTTCTTGATGACGTGGCTGCTCGTCAGGTCCGGATGATTGACCCCAAAGTAGTCCTACATGCAAATGCAGAGGCCATGGCCCATGAGTCTCGTCACAGTCTGTTTTGTCCTCTTATTGGTTCGTTGTCTACCGGGGTTTTACACTTGTGGAATTGACATGAGAACCAGAAAATGTATGTCTATTTCCACATACTGATGTAATATAATATTATTTTACTATGCCTTGATATACCCATTTGCATTATACTGTAGGGCACCTTTAAAAACAAATGCGCTCAAATCTGGTTCGTCACATTATTTGCACAAGTGTAATTGTACATGATTTTATGGCCGTGATTAAACAATTAAAACAAGGAAGCAAATTAGTAAAATTAAGCCATGGATTACATCAAACAAAGGAACTAATAAATCAAG